TGAGCATGACGTGCTATGGAATGAAATACTCCTTTGATAGTTTGGATTGGCTGTCTGAACTGTGTGTCCCACCGCACTGCTTGTAGTGAGGAAGTTGGGAACATGGGCAGGATCAGAAGCTGGAAAAGCCCTTGGATTGCAGCCAGCACTCCCCAGCACCAGCTAACAAACACCTTACCAGTACTTTTCTCAGGGCAAATCCAAAACAGCTTTATACCAGCCACAGTGAAGAAAATTAACTCTGTCCCGACTCAAAGCAGCGCAGAGGGGAAGCTCCCGCGCTGTCCGGGTGCCTGGCTCGCCGTGTAGGGGTTGTTTCTTGTCGCAGTGGGACAGGGGGAAGATGGAGTGGGATGTAGGAAGCTGCTTGGTGTTGCTGCGTCGGGTGTTAGGGAGGCAGAGCTGCCTCAGCTGTCCAGGGGAGCTGACAGTGATTGAAGGGGGGGTTGAGTGCTTCAGCCATTCTGATAATGACAGGCTGAAGGCCCCCATGGGCAGGCAGCATTCCCTAATTCAATTTACAAGCCGACAAGGAACGCTTTCAGCCTCAACTTCGATAAATCCCTGTGTTCCTCAGGAGGGTGTGGAGGAGCCTGCGGGTTACTCCGCACTGAGGAAAGACATCTGAATTTTGCAGGCTGCTGGGGGAGGCTAATCCTGCCTCTCGTCGAGGATGCCATTTAAACAGTCTTTGCAAGTGGGCAACTTATCACTAACCTTGCAGATGGCAATTATCGTGCGTCTTTTTGGAAAATGAATAGAGAGAGCTGTCAGCTCACAACGTGCGGGAACCGGCTCCCAGATCAGCTGCTAAATTCTTGCCAAGGCTCCAGTCACCTGCTCGGTTCAGGTGTTAGCAGTCTAATTAACAGAGATCAAGGGGACTTTGTGAAAAAACGGACTGTGCTGGAATAGTAAAAGGAAACCCTTTATTAGCAGTGGCAAATGCACAGGCCCGCGGAGCCCTGCTGATTCACAAATGCCTTTACACGCGAGTTTGATGTTACCTTCGTGCACAGGAACATTTAGGAAAGGAGGTGACGCATGTTACTCATTACAACATCAGTAGTTTCTCAGCTGCTGAAAGATCCAAGTGATTGAACGTGCCTTTTTAAGCCCTTAGATCCTGCCAGCCTTTTGTTCAAGCCTAGAGCCCCCTACCTGGAGTTGTCATAATTGTGTGTCTGCCAGGAGAGCGCCCGTACGGGGGTGTCGCAGATGAAGAGGCAGGAGAAAAGGGGCAGATTGTTATGGAGGGGCAATGGCCACATCACCAGAGGCAACTTTTCATCTTCCATCCTGTCCTTAGGTGACATAAACCCAAACTTGGTTTGGGAAGTTTTTGCTGAGCTGAGCAAAGCCAACCTCGGCACGACACAGGCTCTGGGGCTTAGTCTGAGTATTCTGCCTGCGGAGCAGCACGGGAGATGAGGGACCTTTCCCTGCGGTGGCTCTGTCGCAGCCTCTCCCTGCTACTGGGGCGGCACTGGCCAGGGTGGGGTTCAGATAAACAGCTTTACTAGCCCCCGCACAGGCTTTACCGGCCCCAGCACAGCACTGTGCTCACACACCAGAGTGACTCAGAGCAGCCGTGACTTTGGTGTCACCACTGTCCTCCTGTTGTACATCTGTCCGAACCCCCCAGCACGGTATTTCTAAGCTATGTCAAGAGCAGCACACTGAGGAGGGTGGGCAGGAGCACGCACCAGCACCGGTGCCTATAGGCCAGATCCTTTAGTACCACAAGGCTGGGAGAGTTGGGGTGTTCAGCCTGGAGCAGAGAAGGCTCCAGGGAGACCTCAGAGCCCCTTCCAGTGCCTGGGGGGGCTACAAGGAAGCTGGGGGTACTTTTTACAAGGGCCTGTAGTGCCAGGACAAGGGGTAACAGGTTTAAATTGAAAGTGGGGAGGTTTAGATTAGATATGAGGAAGGAATTCTGCCTGAAGAGGGTGAGGAGCACTGGGACAGGTTGCCCAGAGAAGCTGTGGATGCCCCATCCCTGGAAGTGTCCAAGGCCAGGCTGGATGAGGCTTGGAGCAACCTGGTCTAGTGGAAGGTGTCCCTGCCCATGGCCAGGGATGGGACTGGGTGGGTTTTAACATCCCTTCAACCCAAACTGTGCTCTAAACAACACTTATGAAACGTCTGAACCCACACGTTTGGCTGGTTTGCCAAGATTGCCTCAGTCCCTGGATAGTGTGTTCACAAGGCCGTGGTTCCTTCCCAGTCACCGAGTGAGTTGTTCTTCACTCCCTGCCTTGTGTGTCTGTCCCTATCCTGTGTTTACAGCTGTTCAGGGCAGTGGACAGATCCTCCCGCGTGGGTGGCCTTTTGGGGTCTTCCCTTCAGAGGCAGAATAGTCCATCGCTCCATTTTTCCCCTTCTCTTCCCAGCGCGGGCGTTGGGCGGACCGGCTGCTTCATTGTGATCGACGCCATGCTCGAGAGGATAAAACACGAGAAGACAGTGGACATTTACGGGCACGTCACCCTCATGAGGTCACAGCGCAACTACATGGTACAGACAGAAGACCAGTACAGCTTTATACACGATGCCTTGCTTGAGGCTGTCGCTTGCGGCAACACAGAGGTCCCAGCTAGGAATCTCTACACCTACATCCAGAAACTGGCTCAGATTGAAGTCGGAGAGCACGTGACAGGCATGGAGCTGGAGTTCAAGGTACTGGTAGATGCTGGAATGGGGCCAGTAGTCACTGGGGGAGGTGCTGTATTCCTCACAGGAGCGTTGTTCTGCTGGCACTCATGCATGGCAGACAGGGAGCCTTTAAAAGGCTGATGGGAACGTTTGGGTTCAGTGTTAGAGAAGTAATTACTTTTCTGGCTTATGCTACCTCCATTCCCAGGGGAGGCGTGTCTGTCGCTGCAGGAGGCTTGTCTGGTCATTTCAGATCGACATTGAATTTGCTTCCTCCTTAGATTGGGGTTTTGAATGTTTGGGGGTCTTTTTTCCTCTGAAAGTTTTGCTCAGGGAAAGGTCTCATGCTGTCACCACCCCAAAAAAAAAGGAGGGCACACCAGGCAGAATAGCATGGTGGGACATGGAGGGCAAGTGGGCTGGCGTAGGGCTCGAGCACAAAAAAACAAGCTGAACAAAATGGTTGTGACTCTGTTTTTGCCCTCAGCGACTCGCCAACTCCAAAGCCCACACCTCCAGGTTCATCAGCGCCAACCTCCCCTGTAACAAATTCAAGAATCGCCTTGTCAACATCATGCCCTACGAGACCACGCGGGTCTGCCTTCAGCCCATCAGGGGCGTGGAAGGGTCGGACTACATCAACGCCAGCTTCATCGATGGCTACAGGTAACGGGCACCCTGCAGCCAGGGACTTCCTGTGTCCGAGGAGGGATGCAGACGGACTGCGGGGCGGGCCAGGTCTTCACGTGGGTGGTCTCCTCTGGCCCAGCGCCTGGCGATACCTGCACGCAGCGGTGCAAGGCGAGAGGTAAATTCCCTCTTGCCGATGGGCGGCAGCCCACACACGGGCTCCGGCACAGCTTTATTCTCTCTGGTCTTAAAATTACTTACGTGCTAAAGCAAACCAAACCTTTCCCCAGCTGCAGGTCCTAAACATAGAGCGTCGGTGAGGGGGTGGATTTTGCCATTGGGAGGTTTCTAAAAACAGCTTCGCCTTTTTATTACTTTTGTCATCTGGGGACGTTGCAGCTCTGACAGCTTCCCACAGGCGATCCGTGCCATGTGCTCCAGCCCTCCCCTGGTGTGCTCGGGGCCTGGCCAGCTAAGCCGAGAGACCAAAGCCACCCCATGAGCAGGTTTCCTCGCCCCCAGGTGCACGCAGCAGTCCCGGCCCTGGCCGTGGCACTGCAGTTGAAGAGAAGCATGGAATTGTTTAGGCTGGAAAAGACCTTTAAGATCACCGAGTCCAACCATTAACGGCCAAGCCTGCCCTAAACCCTGTCCCTGAGCACCACATCAGGTCATCCCAACCCCCTCCGGGGATGGTGACTCTCCCCCTCCCTGGGCAGCCCCTTCCAATCCTGACAGCCCTCTCCGGGGAGACATTTTTCCGGATCCCCAAGCTAAACCTCCACTAGTGCAACTCGAGGCCATTTCCTCTTGTCCCCTGTGCATGCCTCACAGTTGAGTTCTTGGTGTTCCTGAGGCCCCAAAAACACTCTGGTTCCAAGACTCTAGGTGTGACACCTTTTTCCATATAGGGTATTATATTAGATTAATCTGGATTTACCCCTTGGAAACATTAATTATAGAAAGCATCACCACTGGAGCTTTCTTTGACCATCAGCAGCAAAGACACCTCCCACCCCTTTGGGCCTTGCACTGGTCTGGTTCTTCCCCAGCATTTCCATTTTGTTTTCCGATTCTCCAGCTTTTGTATGGTTTCCCAGAGCTTCTGCCCAAGCAATTCTCTGCACCCCCTTGACCCCCCCCCTTGGGTTTGTGCTGTCCTTTTAGACAACAGAAGGCGTACATCGCTACTCAAGGGCCGTTGGCAGAGACCACGGAAGATTTCTGGCGGATGCTGTGGGAGAACAACTCCACCATTGTCGTGATGCTGACGAAGCTTCGCGAAATGGGTCGGGTAAGCGCGCCCCGAGGCCGAGCGCGGGGGGAGGCCTGCAGCACAAGGGCTGACGGAGGCTTTTCTTTCCCCTTGGCAGGAAAAGTGCCATCAGTACTGGCCAGCGGAGCGTTCTGCCCGCTACCAGTACTTCGTAGTCGATCCCATGGCGGAATACAACATGCCTCAGTACATCCTGCGTGAATTCAAGGTCACCGATGCCAGGGTGAGTGCTGGGCACCGTGCAGTCTGTGCTGGCCAGGGTCAGGGCAGGGGCTGGAGAGCTTCACACTCACCAGATAGGGAAGGTGGCTCACAGAAAACAAGGGAGGGTGGCCCGTTTTGGCTCCCTTTGGCACTCAGAAAGACTGAGGTGTAAACACTTTCTCTGAGAGAGCCTGGGATTATCTGTAGTGGAGGAGAGCTCAGTTGTGCTGAGGAACAGAACACACAAACATGGATAAATCGTACCTAAACGCATCTTCTTACAAACTGAAAGTAGTTTTCTAACCTCTGCTCACTAATCACAGTAGTGAGTCATGTTGTTAGCTTTTGAGTTTACTTGGAGCTTATATGACATGAAAGCAGAAAATAACAGCTCCCCAGACAGCTAATAAAAACAGCCTTGCCAAGGCGACTCTTCACCCTACAGCAAATGTGCGCTTCTCCTTGGGTCGTACGAGGAGCTGCCATGTTGTACAGGGGCACATCCGCCCAACTAATCTTAGGTTCAGTGTCAGATTTCTCCTCCAAAGGAACATTTCAATACCTCCTGAAATTTGTTTAGCAAATGTAACCCTCACTCTCAGAGTCCTCTGCTTCTAAGGTTGCCAGTATTGTAGAACTTGATAGCTCTACTGGCAAGGTTGAAAAGGAAGATGCCTCATCAGTCCTGGTAGAAGAAGATTTATCTTCCTGTCAGCTGTAATTCTGACCCTATGGCAACCCTTTCCCAAGATTGATAGAGAGGCCGTAACCTCACCTTGAATGTTCCCGGCTGAGGAGCCCATCTGTGCAGCTCCGCAGTGGTCGGGGCTCTCACCCCCCTGCCAGCAGTACAGATCTGTGCTGAAATGCCAGCTGCAGCCTGAGCAGGTTCATCATTCTCTGTATCAAACAGATCCGTTTTCACTTGATTCCAACCCAAAGTGGGTTCAACTTCTTGTATTCCTTAGTGAAACAAAACAGGGTTGGGGGTTTTTCTTTGGTATTTAGTACCACAACTCCAGGATGTTCTAAATACCACTGTTTTCTTCCCCAGGATGGTCAGTCACGAACTGTGCGTCAGTTCCAGTTCACTGACTGGCCAGAACAAGGCGTGCCAAAATCAGGAGAAGGGTTTATCGATTTCATTGGACAGGTCCATAAGACCAAGGAACAGTTTGGCCAGGATGGCCCCATCTCTGTCCACTGCAGGTAGGCATGCATGCGTGGAAACCGCTGACTGATCTGAGGATGCTAAAGAGCAGAAGGAATGAAAATCCTGCAGATCTCTCCCTCTCTTCCCACCCCGTCTTTGCAGGCAGATTTTTGGAGGATGTCTGGAGGGGCTGGGGTGCTGAACGCAGTTGCTTTGGCCAACCAAACTCACCTGCCTTCAGACCTGGCCACTGTCCACAAGGCCTTTGACCCTCTAGGGGAGAGCTAGGAAGTGCTGTGGGAGATGGGAACCGGAGTGCCAACGTCTGGCCTGCAGAGTTGGAAGTATTTTTATACCAGTCCTGCACCTCCAGCACTGCTGGCTTGTGTTTGCTGGTGGCAGGGATTGTGCCTTCCTACCCCTGGGCAGGGCAGGGTAATGCATTCTCCGAATTCTTCAATTTAACAAGCCTGATGGTACCTATTAGGACTGATTTTCACACTGAATGCTGTTCACCTTTTGATTTTTTTAATTTCACTCCCTCAAACATTTGCTTGGGTCACACGCTCCGGCAGTTTTAGTTTCCTACCTTCTGGAGGCCTGAGCCTCTGCAGTCCCAACGCCTTCACGCGGGTAAGACGCAGCTCAGCCGTCCGAAAGCTCTGCGTGCACGGCAGCAGCTGATGTTGTGACGTACAGTTCCCTCTTTCTCTCCCCTTCCTGCAGCGCTGGCGTGGGCAGGACCGGAGTGTTCATCACACTGAGCATCGTCCTGGAAAGAATGCGATACGAGGGTGTTGTAGATATTTTCCAGACAGTAAAGATGCTGCGAACACAACGACCTGCCATGGTGCAAACAGAGGTGAGGCGGAGGGGGCAGCAGCTGGGAGGAGGGAGCAGCAAAGCACCACAGCTGCAGGTCAGCCCCTCGCTGCCCTGCCTGAGCGGGGTGTGCTTTTTGCCCGTCCAACACCAGCAAAGGGGTTTTTACCTTACCTGAGGGGTAAAAAGCCCAGGCTGCGCTGCTGATTTGACTTAACTCATACCCCCAAAAATAAAATATCCCACTGTTACAAAGTCTCATCCCAGTCCGCCAGCCCCAATTCTTACTGCGTCCCTGCCTCTGAGGCAGGGGGGACTCACCCACCTCTGAAGACAGCCCGCAGGTCGGCTTGCGGTGGGGTGGTGAGCGTCTAGGGAATGCACAAACGATAAAGGGAAGGGGTTTCCTTTCCCGGGAGTTCGCAGCTCTGCCAGCAGAACAGAGCCTGCGCACGTTCCTGCCCAAGGATGTGCTAGCTGGAAGGCAGGGCAGGGATCCTGAGGAGCTGTTTCAAACCTCTGAAGCTGGTTCTCTTTACTGTTCGCAGGATGAGTATCAGTTCTGTTACCAGGCAGCTCTGGAGTATCTGGGAAGTTTTGATCACTATGCAACATAAAAAGCCATCCGTTGTGCAGACTCTACCAACCACTTAAGTCCTGGAAGGCCTCTTTTGACCCAGGAGGAGCGTTTGAACTTACAAAACTGAATCAGAAGAAGTACCTTTTCATCTGGACAATGCATCGGGGAGCAGGGGGAGGGATTGAAAGGAACACCCCGTCAGGAACTCCATGTTGTAACCTGGACCGTGAAGAGGCAGCTCAGGAGATTGCTGGAGGACTGCTTTAAGTGGTGAACTGCTCTTGTTACCTCAAGTGGTGTTCGCTGCGGAGGACGTATGGACATCATGAAACAGATCCAAAAGCTAAAACACACCTTGCGAAATGTTGCGGCTGGAGAAGGGAAGGAAACCGACTTTGGTTACATCATTAGAGTTCAGTTTATTTACTAATATAGTTGGCAGTCTTTAAAGGAAGTCACTTGCAGCATTGAAGGTGTTCTGTAAAAGATAGGGAAAGGAACTAAATCTCAACACGTAGGCAGACTTAGGGTCAGGAGTTCTTCTAGCTGGAGTCTTAACAACCTCAGTGTCCACCGTGGGATGATTCTGGGCTTGCAGGCACCTTGCAAACAGCGTTCGCTGGAGGCCCCTGCCACGCGAGAGGTTTTATAGCTCACGTTTTGAATACTTGGAACATTCCTCATTTCTTCTAATTCCAAAATTTATTTTTTAGGATATTTAAAATTCTAGAGAAAGAGCGATCCAAACCCCAGACCGGGCTGTGTGGTGTGGCCCCCCCTCCCCTTGCACGCCGGCGGGACAGGTCGAGGTGGCAGCTGCCCGGGGCTGGGTTCGCTGTCTGCTTGTTCTGTTCCCCCTTCCCAGCACATCCGGCTACCGCCAAGGTGCTCACCCACGCAGCGGTGGGACGCCCCGTACAGAGAGGCAGCCCCTTCCCCATCCTCTTTGCACATTCACGCCCCCCTCCCCAGTTCTGCCGCAGAAGGAGCATCTCCGAAAGGAGCCCAGGAAGCAGCCGTACGAAATCTGTTCCCCGTAGCCAACTGCTTCTTGCTGCCGCCCGCTCAGCCCGGAAGGCAGCGGCTCTCCGGGAGCGATGCGGAGACCCTCAGGACCCTCCCGGTACCATGTCACACCCTTGGCACAGCTACGAACATGCCCTAGCTGTAGAGATGACGGGGAGAGATGGAGTAAGGGGCATTCAGTGGCATATACTGTGAGTGGCTTTCTTTAAAGTATCGATGTAACTGTAACAAGTGACATTACCTTTTTTTTAAATAGTGTATTTTCTCCTTTTTTTTAAAAAAAAGACAAAGAATATCAGTCAATGAATTTAAAAGAAAAATTTGCTTATTTGTTCATATTATGTTCAAAGACAGTCTATTTTTTCACTGTAGAAATGTTACGTGTAATGGCTGTGATATATAAAGATGCAGTGCAA